TATATATATATATATATATATATATATATATATATATATATATATATATATTATTTTTTTTTATTATATATTTTTTATAAATATATATTTATATAATTATTATTTTAAGTGCATAAGTTGACTGGATGCCTTTTTTTTAAGTCCTTTTTATTAACAGTGCCCGGGAGAAATTTCAGCCTAGTTGAACTTTGCCAATAAGTACATTCTGCCTTATGAATTGTTAATATTTTTACTTTTGTTAAAAGTCCTGTGTCTGAAAATCTGTGTTTCATTTATGGAAAAAAAAAATGCTGTTAAAAGCCCAGCTGTGGGGATTGTTTGTATTGAATTTGGATACCTGTGGACCTGCTCTTGTTCTGAAAAAGGGCCTTATAGAATTAAGCAGTTTTACTATTAAATTTGTTTCATTCACATTTAATTAGTCTCAACAGTTAATCTTAGTAGCCTTAGTTAATAGCCAAATAATGTTTTCTGATCTCAAGTACATTATCAAAAATAACATGAGTTTACATTTTAGTTTTTACTAATCCATATGCATTGTATTGTCAAAGTTGAAACTGAAAATGGTGGATATTTGCATATTTCATGTGTGTGTGTCTCTCTGGCTGCGTGATGGTCTGCCTGTCTTAACTGATCACATTTTACTGTTGGTCTCGTATCCAGGGACTCAAAACACCACAGCATGTCAGAAATAGATGCAAGTTGCTGGTCTCACCCTTATGTGGCGAGATGTATTTTGTGAATGACCTCTGAACTGGCTTTCCTTTCAGTGTTGGATGGTTTTGGCATCTGGTGACCCCATTTGTTCTGTGCATGATTCAGCTGCTGCTGTCTGTTCTAATTGAAGGGACGAACATTGCATATTCACCACCATTGAAATGCAGTCCAATAGCAGGAATAAATACCACACTTTCACATACTAGACACTAACATTTGTCAAAAATGCATCTCAAGCTATGAGAATGCAAACAAAAAAATTACAGGACCAATTTGTGGTGTTTGTACCTACAGTCTATGGTTTGCACTTGTCACTAAATTAAAGATGTGCACTTACCAATGTTTGTGGAAGTTGTCATTTCTATATCACCACAAAATTTGCTGTTGTTATTGACATGGAAGTACTGTCAGAACGCGGAGTATATCAACTATGCATGATATGTAATTTGTATTCCTCGCCAAGATTTCATACACAATACATGCTCATGAAAATGATCAACACACTCACTTTACTATAAACATTGTCATGACTCCATTTGCGCACAACACTAAAACACTTGGTGTCTGCCAGAACTTTGTGATTAATAAAATGTTTATATTATGCAAAGTGGTGTTCTGGTACTAAAGGCACATTTTCACTGTGGAATTCTCGTTTCCAGAGGTAATGTTGAAATCTGCCTCGTAATAAAATCTCATGCAGAAGTTGGTGGTGTGTCTTTTATGTGGTTGTTAAAACATGCATGAAATGAAAGGAAAATTAAAAACGGTTTCGTTCAAAACTAAAATTTTTAGACCATTTAAGGATTTTTTGATTCATTGTTTGATTCATTTGATTAATTAATTATCATGAGCATACTGTCACATCACTTAATGAAATAAAATCTCATATGCATTATGCTATATATATATATATATATATATAATTTATATTATTATTTTATTATCAATTATTTACGTTTTCAGTTATTTTAATTTAAAAATATAAAAGTAAATATTATAACTGTATGTATATATATATATAGAGAGAGAGAGAGAGAGAGAGAGAGATAGTATTATGGTGAGAAATAATAATTTTTCCAAAAATTAAACATCAGGAGGTGGTAATAAAAATGTTGAAGGGAAATGGAAATTGTCATGGAAAATAATATCACAATGCCAATACATTTTATATTTTGCATTAGAAAATTAAGCATAAAGAATACATTTTTATCAATAATTTTATAATAGACAAATTAATAATAAAAATAAATGTTTTTTGTTTTCATTTTATTTTGAGTTAAAAGATTTTGCCATTTAAAATCTGGCTTAAATTAATATCACAATGGCAAAAAAAATTTGCATAAAGAATACATCTCTATCATAATTTGATACTAGAAAAATTTATAATATTTTGTTTTCTTTTGATTTTGAGTTGAAATGTTTTTGTGAAAGCATGCTTTATGGCTAAAATGCAATACAGTGGTTTCACACCAGTAACTTTGAAATCCTTCTGACGGTTTTTAACTTCTACCAGTATTTAATATTGATTCCTCTCAGTTATAGAGATTAATAATTAGCGAGAGGCATTCCATCAGGAAGGTGACAGTAGGTATTCGAGTGAATACAGCATCTGTTCACTCAGGTCATAATAACGTCTAAAACTGAAGCACACCTGGGAATTTAGTTTCTCGTAAGCAAGTTTTGATTGTTGCATTGTTGCATAATGTTAACAAAGTTTGCGTTTTTTGTGGCGTAACGGGTGTCTCATCAAAAGTTGTGTCTATGAATGTGTTAATGTGTTGGTGTATGTGACGTGTGTATGATTAAACAGTGCAGGACAGGCATGGGATTAACAGGATTACTGAAGATAAACAGGATGGGGTAAATTCACCCAAACTGGGCTGCTCACATGACAGGACTTACATTTAACCAGAGATCTTGTGACTTGGGATAGTGATGGGTGGCTAGTGCTGCTCAGACAGGCATACTGGGTCTGTCCTGTATAGTAGAACATCCTTTGTGACCTCAGATCGTACCTGCAAAATGTGTGTATGAAAAAGGGCAGGTGTCGATTTCCAATACCTCATAGTCCAAGCTTTGAGGTCTTCAATATGCTAGTAATTTATA